CCGCTTCCAGCTGTTCACGGACGGGAAGGGAAGACCTAAGTTTACACACAGACTTATCAGCAACAGCCACAGACGTGGAGCTAATCTGGCGGAACCTCGGGAGGACAATGACAAATAAATGCTGGTATATTCGTACAGTGGGCCACGACAGAGCAGTGAAAACAAAGCAGGGACAGTCGTGCCCACACTGATTTCCAGGTCATCAGGCACGAGGCTCAACGGCCCCCCTACAGAGGACACTCAGGTCTCCCGGTTTCCACTCTAGGGAACAGAACAATGAGCGTGACCCTACCTACTGGACCGGGCCATCATGAGAAAGATGTGTGAGTGCAAGAGAAGCTGCCAAGTGCGCTTCATGTTTAAGTTCAGCTGAAATCTAAATTCTGACACTGGTCGAAGAGTCGGCCATGAGAAAAGATGGGCAGGAAACCTGAGGAGACTGAGGCCCAGAAGTATGTCAACAACAGCAAAGCACGCCAGGCCAGCGCTGCAGCCCAGCCCTCTCACCACCTCCTCTGCGGCCCCAAAGGAACCCAATCTGAGCTCCGGCACGAGGAATCCTGGCAACCTCACTCACTCTCTCCCCCACTCACCAACAGGGGCCTTGTTTATCTGGCACTGCTGGAATCAGCTACGACAATAGTTCAGGATTATTAAAACCCACCGAACCAAAAACATCCCATAAGCATTGTCTGCTTCCCACCCCCACTCCAGTTTCAGAAAATAATTAAGTATTAAAATTACAAATTTTGAGGTCAAACTGACATTTGACTAACAGCCTCGCCTTTCGGGGGAGGCTGGGACCCCGACAGCAGCGAGTCCAGGACTGTAGCTCACCCTAAACAGCAGTGTAAGGGGCAAAGTCAAATGAGTAACTCAGGGAAGTAGAGATTCATTTGGGGAAGGTCTACTGTAAAGAGTTGAAGGAGGAAATCTATGAATTAATTTGGATTCAGCTGTGGGTTCCAGAAGTGGTTTTGACCATCAAACAACTGAAGTGATGACAGAAGAGGTCAAAAGTGACTCCCACTCCCCCCTGTTCACAGGCAGGTGCAGAGAGAGTTTGAAGTAATAGGGGAGCAGGTGGAAACAGGGGAAGCACAACAGGAATCACATTAGAAGGTCTAGAGGAGGACGAGGAGATGAGGGGAAAGTACATGACTGTTCCCGCCCTGGGGACTGTAACAATCCCACCTCTGGAAAAGACAAGAACTGACAGACACACACACAGACACGTGCACAAATGCAGTACAGTGTTTCTGATGTCCGCTTGAACCAATTTTCACTTTACATTTTTTCAACTATTTCTTCAACAAACACAGGACTTAGTAAAATAGGAAAAATAGTTACTTCATTGAGAAGCTGTAAAAACTGATCATCTAATTTCTGAAGTTTCATCTCATTCTGAAAATCGCTATCATGATTATCCTTCTCTGGCTCAGAAGGCGGGCACACGGACATAAAAGACGGCAGCCCCGTGTCAGTTGGAGGACTTGCAAACGGGTCCAGGGGGGCCATGTCATCACCCGTGGGGGCCGTCACCACCGGCAGGCCGTCAGCGATCTAGGACAGATACCACCAGACCTCAACATGTGCACTGATGAAGGACAAGCTGAAGGCATCTTTGTATTAGGGAAAACCCAATACCATACCTCATCTTCACTGATATTTAGGGGAGAATCAGATGAAACCAAATTATCCAAAAGACCTTCGAAGCATTGCAGACTTGAGGAGTTTATCTGTGACAGGTCTACCGGCTCACCAAATATGTTCTTGCAGTCCAGGATTCGAAGCTGTGGCAGGGTCTGCAGCATAATTGCTTGGTACCCTGGAGACATATTCAAAATGAAAACTCATGCATTAAAGAAGTTAATTACTTGGAGAATCAACTGAATTTTTCAGCTACCAGAGGTACCTACAACTGCCTAGAGTTACACTCTAAGAATATCTCACAATGATAATTTAATTCTGAGGCACTCACTTATCTATAATAATAAAAGCATAATATGCTAATTAGACAGGAGCGTTTAATGACCTTCCGGATGTCCTTCCAGACAAAGCCGAGGTGGCAGGGGCCAAGGCAGAGGCAGTTAGGGGCGAGCAAGCAGGCCAGCAGTGAGGGGCAGTTGGAGGCGATCAGGCCAGCAGGGTAGGGCAGTTGGGGGTGAGCAGGCAGGCAGGCAGAATGGTTAGGGGCAATCAGGCAGGCAGGCGAGTGGTTAGAGGCAGTCAGGCAGGCCGGCCAGCAGTCAGGAACCAGCGGTCCCAGATTGCGAGAGGGTGCAGGCCGGGCTAAGGGACCACCCTCCACCCCCCGCACGAATTTCATGCACCAGGCCTCTAGTCAAAGTTAAAACTGTTTAACAGAGTCACTATTTATTCACTGTGTTATTCTTTTAAAGCAACTTAGTTTGTCTAAAAAAATATTTTATTTTGCAATTATGTTTTTCCAAATACATAATAAAATGCTGAAAAGCTTAAGACAAATAAAACCAAGTTCTAAGCACCAGCTGCTGTGAACACCATTACAAAGTGCAGTGAATTGGAAGGTCCTACCCGGCACCCGACAGACAGGGTTATCCTCGCCATTCTTCTCCAAAACCAGGTTCGTCAGGAAGTGCAAGCCCACCATGCACTGGAGCAGGTGGTGGATGCTGTCTATGCAGTTGCTGTGCAGGTCGATGTATCTAAGCTTATGTTTGATTCCATGAAGGGGCATCAAACCTGCAAGATGAAAAAACCCTGCTGATGCCACAGCAGCCATTTCCCCAACAGCTCATGGAGCACTTGATGTAGGTTCTACTTAGAGGCGAAGGCACAGGGCGAGTGAGGCCTCGCTGCGAAGCTGCACCTCGTGGAGAGGGTCAGTCAAGTCCTCTTGTTTTGAGAACAGAGGCCCCTGGTATGAGTTCCATTCAAACAAAACTCTCAGGCCTCCTAAGCCATGCAGGAACTTACAGAACAAGCAAGGCTCCAGGCTCCTTCCTGATAAGCAAACACTGAATAAGCTTCCATTGTTGGTTTGAGCATAAAATACAAATAGCATTTGATTTAGTCCCTGGTAATACCTGTAGCCCCAGCTTATCTGGGGTGTGGTAAGCCAGGAACCCCACCCTGACAGCCTCATGTGCCCTACTCAGGTACCCCTAGAGCGCTGGCTGTTTTACTATTTTGCTCATTTGTTCATTAGATTCCACATATGGTATTTGTCTTTCTCTGACTGGCTTATTTCACTTAGCATAATGCTCTCCAGGTCCATTCATACTGTCCCAAAAGGTAAGAGATGCTTTTTTATTGCCGCATAGTATTCCATGGTGGAAATGCACCACAGCTTTTGTATCCACTCATCTGATGGAAACCTGGGCTGCTTCCAGATCTTGGCTACTGTAAATTATGGTGCTATGACACAGGGGTGCAACTGGCCATTTCTCTTTCCTGCTTCAGAACCTGCTTCCAAGTAGAGCTTGCTGAGCAAAAGTGCAGCCCGAAAGTGTGCCTGCAGGGCTCCCTCAGCCCTGGAGAAGGGAGCTTGTCAGTGGACCGTGCCCCAGCCTCCCTTCTCTTGGAAGGGCCATTCTGAGATGCAGCTGCACTGTAAGGTCCTGCTCCACATTCCTGGCTGTCCCCTAGTGTCCCTCCTCCATCCATAGGCTCTCCAGGACCTCCTGCACTCTTGCAGCGTCATGGCTGCAACACCATTGACGTGTCACATCTCAACTCCAACCCCATTACACAAACACACACATACATTCGTCACTGGTTGTCCCCTAGTGTCCCTCCTCCATCCACAGGTTCTCCAGGACCTCCTGCACTCCTGCAGTGTCATGCCTGCAACACCATCGATGTACACACACACACACACACACACACAACTTGTCACTGGCTGTCCCCTAGTGTCCCTCCTCCATCCACAGGTTCTCCAGGACCTCCTGCACTCCTGCAGTGTCATGCCTGCAACACCATCGATGTACACACACACACACACACACACACAACTTGTCACTGGCTGTCCCCTAGTGTCCCTCCTCCATCCACAGGTTCTCCAGGACCTCCTGCAGTGTCATGGCTGCAACACCATCGATGTGTCACATCTCAGCTCCAACTGATTACACTAACACCCTAGTTTTAATCTCAATTCTTCATTCAGTGGTAGCTTTGGTACCAACACACACACTCACGTCTCACCCCATCTCAAACCTGCTCCTCCCCAATCTTCACACATCAGGAAGCAATACCATCATCTGCCTGTTACTTCAGGGAAAACTCGTGTTCATCATCTGGGATTTCTTTCTCCTCCATGCCCTCATCGCACCCATCAGCAAGGCCTATGACCTCCACATGTAAAACGCATTTAGCCATCTCCCGTCTCCACCCAGTCCAGGTCTCACCCTCTCCTCTGGACACCTGGAGCAGCTTCCCACTGACTCCCATTCCCGTCCTAACACCCATCCTCCTCATTCAGCCCAAGTGATCCTTAACACATGCGCGACGTCACTTGTTTAAAGCCCTCCCATGGCCCCCGTTGTACCTACGACAACATGCAAACGTCACCCTTTGCCTGCTTGCTCATCTCTCTTCTGCACACGAACCCCATTTGCTGTGCTCCAGCCACACTTCCTTCCTCTGCTCCGAGGTCCAACTCGCTCGCTTGAGCCCTAGCGTGCCACATGCTCTAGCACACACACTGCCACGCTCTGCTCTCTAGCGAGGTGTTTCTGAATAAAATACATCATTCTAAGAATTAGCTATTAGAACGTCCAGGGTTCCTATGACATTTTCTTCATATTCCTTCTCTCAGACAGTCACTAAAATTCACTCTTCTTAGGTGTGGAGTTCCATGTGCTTTGACCAACATATAGTTTTTTTTAACCATGACTAAGATATAGAACATTTATTTCCACCACCCCAATCAGTGTGTCCCTATGTAGGCAATTTTCTCTCCCCATGTTCAAGCCCTGGCGACTGATGATCTGTTTTCTGCCCCTATAACTTTGCCTTTGTTAGAATGGCACATATTGGATTCATACAGGGTAGCCTTTTGTGAATGCTTTAACTTAGCACAACTCTTTTTTAGATTCATCCATGCTGCAGCATGTATCAATGGCTCGTTCCTTTTTATGGCCTTAGTATTCCATCTTGTGGCTGCATCACAATTTCTGTTTACCAGGTGACAGGTAAGTGAGTGGTTTCCAGTTTTTAGAGATTACAGATAATCACAGAAACCTGATTATATGAAAAGCTATATAAACATACAAACACTCATGTACAGGTCTCTGATTAGACATATTTTCATTTCTCTTTGGTAAATGCCTAGAGTGGGACTGCATATAAATGTACATGTAACCTTATAAGAAACCTTCAAACTGTTTCCCAAAATCCTTATACTACTTTGAATTCTACCAGCAACGGATGTAAATTCTAGATGCTCCATAATCATTCCCTACAAGAACTTTATCTGTCCAGCCTGGCTGGTATGGTTCCGTGGTTGAGGGTCGACCCATGAACCAGGACGTCATGGTTCAATTCCTTCTGGTCAGGGCACATGCCCTGACTATGGGCTTGATTAAGGCAGCTGATGGATGTCTCTCTCTCATTGATGTTTCCATTTCTCTAGCCTTCTCCCTTCCTCTCTCTCTAAAAATCAATAAAAAACATAAAAAAGAACTCTATCTTTCCACACGTGCTCTTTAATAAATATTTGTTGATAAGTAAATTACTCTCTTATCTAAGATTCTTATTTTTCAGATAAGGAAACTGCATTCAAAAAGTGACAGATTTTGCTCAACAAGGCACAACAGTGACAGACCTACAGCCAATACTCAAACCTAATACTTTCACATCTTTGGGGGGAAAATTTAAAATACTGCTGTTTGATCTTCAATTTGTAATGGCCTTTGGGATGCTTTACACTCATACTGTCCAATCTGGTAGGACAGCCTCAGGTGGCTTTGTAATTTAAACTTAAGTTTGATTGAAAGTAAATAAAATTACAAATCCAGTTCCTCGGTGCACTAGGCACATTTCAAATGCTCGCATGGCACACTGGGTGCTATGACAGGCAGCGCAAACGTAGAATGTTTTTATCACTGTAAGAAGTTCTATTGGAATTCTTCCTCTCTAGAACAGTATATTCATTAATTATCTAAGATTAAAATACCATTTCCCCCAAAAGAGGTCCTTCTATCCAAATTTGTCCTGTTACAGACCACCCTAGTTTTAATCCCAATTCTTCATTCAGTGGTAGCTTTGGTACCAACACATTCTCTAGATGAGATTTTTGGTCAAAAATTGTATTATTCAGCTTTCTGACATGCTAAGATCATTCTAACTCACCACACATGGCAAATATTCAGCATTATAGAAAAACTAGAGGCCCGGTGCATGAATTCATGCACAGGTGGGGTTCCTGGCCTGGCCGGCAATCGGGGCCGTCTTGCCCATCACCCAGTCCTGATTGGGCCTATCGGGGCCGGCTGGCAGAGGGTAGGGACCGCAGGATGTTACCAGCTGGCCCTGATGGGGGCCGATCAGGGCCATCTGGCTGGGGGAGGGACTGCGTGAGGTTGGCCGGCCATGGGAGATTGGCTGTGGGAGTGCACTGAAGACCAGGGGGAAGCTCCAGCATTGAGTGTCAGGCCCCTGGTGGTCAATGCACGTCACAGCAACCTGTCAACCAGTTCTAACAGTTGCTTAGGCTTCTACATATATAAAGCACATCTACTTACCACTTAAATCATTTATGTGGTTATAGGATAAATTCAGTCTAGTCAGATTAATTAGTGCTTCAAGTCCTAAAATAAAATAAAATAAAGCTTTTACAGGATTCAATAATCAATTTATTAAAGCTATATAGTACTGCAATACTATTTTAGACTTTTTGAAGCAAATCTACAGTCGAATTAAATAACAGTAAAATCAATTTTGTTGGTATTTTATAAAATACTGGAAAAAGGCTAATAACTTTTCTAGGAGAAAAATTTTTATATGATAAATTTTAGGGTCAGTTTTCAAAAGTTTACTATTTATCCCATTCTTCTGGGAAGGAAAAAAAATGGACTTAAGTCATATTCCTTATTCAAAGCATTACATGAAAATCACTTACACACCTTCTATTTTTGTGATCAAATTGCTGGATAAATTTAAAGTGCGTAGTTTTGTCAGTGCGCTTAGCCCTTCGATTTGACTGATTTGATTAGATGACAAATCTAAATGTTGTAAATTCCAGACATGGTCAATGGCTTCTATCTTCGAGATGTTGTTACAATGCAGATTGATGGCATGGAGGGTTGAATCTAAGGATAACTCTGATATGCTATAAAAGAAAATATGTACCATCAAACACACAAAAAAAATGGATTTTGAAATCATAACCAAATAATTAAAATTAACCCAACAGAGTATATATAACTGTGAGCTCTACTCATCTAAAACAATAAAAGCATAATATGCTAATTAGACCAGACAGCTGGACTACCTTCTGGGCAAAGCTGGGGCTGCGAGAGCTGAACCTCTTGCATGAATTTTGTGCATCGGGCTTCTAGTTCTATAATGAAATTCTTCCTCCTTCTAGTAGCCTTGAAATGTCTCACCAGGTATAGCGATTCCTACCACAAAACAGCATTTTGGGACATTTATACAATCAAGAAACCCACTTAGGAGATGCAGGTGATCCTGGGCATGCCTAGCTTCTCAACATGAAGTGATGAGCACACAGGGAAGGCACCAGTGCAAAGGCCGTGAGGTCCCTACACCCCAGCTCAAAACTGCACTCTACTTTTTTTTGCTGTTCCTTGAGTTAACAGCCCGTTTCCTCATCTCATTCAACTCTCACAATACTAAAAGGTAGGGATCTAAGGAAAATGACATTTACAGAAATTCAACAACTTGTCCCAGTTCTTGTAGTTGTTACCTTACTGAGCCGGTATAAATCCAGACCTGGCCCTGCAGTTCACTACTTCCCTCACCGTCCATAAGGGCTGCTTAACGCAGGATGCAGCCCATTTCAAAAGACACCACGGGCACTGCTGTTTCTATTGAAAAAGTGCCCTCCTCCCTGTTGACTTTGGAATGCACCTCCACTGAATGGAACTCATCTCCTCATTCTCTCAAGTCGTGACCTTTACACCGGGGCCCCTCTGGAACCGCCCTCCCAGGAATACAAACGCGCACATGGTGCGGAGTTGGGGTGGAGGCCCGCCCGGTCATGGCACTGGCTCCATGTTCTGTGCCCCCAACCCTACCCCGACAAGGAGTCAGCACTTCTACATGTCAAACTGGCCACCTCAACAGTTCCCCATGACCTCGCCTCCGTCACTTACTGAGCTATTACTTAGTCCAGACCTTACGCTCTTAACATGTGTTCTTAATGTCAACCATTTATTTTCCAAAACATCTCTGCTTCTGGAAATTAATACTGGGAGGGAGGGAGGCGGTCCCCGACCCGCTGCCGGCCCGGCGCGCCCTCACCTCCGCAGGCCTTGGTCCATGCAGCACAGGTCCCCACAGGTGCTGTCGCCGTCCTCATGCTCGACCTCCGCCTGCCCCGGCGCCTCCATGGACGCGTTTTTCCGGCGTCGCGGGTCCGCAAAGGGCGGACTGGGACCGGGGGGCCCGCGGCAGAGCCCGTGCAGGGCGGAGACCGCGGCGTCAGGGTCAGAGAAGGGGCAGCGCAGAGATGGGCAGAACCCGAGGGACAGGGACCCCTCGGTGGGGCGGGGGGGGGGGGCCGGGGGGCGGCGGGGCGGGGGGGG